TAACTAACACACACACACACACACACACACACACACACACACACACACACACACACACACACACACACACACACATACAAGCGCGCGCGCGCGCGCACACACACACGTGTACATATTAAATTATTACAACTTTTTTTATTTTATTTTATTTTATATATTCAATATTTTTTTAATACTGTAATAATTTGTTATATATTGGCAGGATTATTTTAAATTAATTTGTTTCTAATGTTAACAAAATTATTATATTTTTATTTTTATTATTTTTTCGTATATTAACAATATTTTATTCATATTAAATATTTAACAATTTTAACAATTTAACAATTTTAATTTTTATTTTTTAGATTATTATTTATTAAATTATTTTTAGATTGCAAGATTAGCACAATTAATATGCAAATTATAATTTTGTATAAAATATATTTTGAATTGTTCTTGTTTTATCTCCTATAATTTAACACATTCTTTTTTTGTTACTTATTAATATCTAAAATTATCATCCTTGTATAACTGAAGAACCTAGTATGGAAGTTTTAAAACGAATATACATGTAGTAAAATGCATCCGATAATGCAATATAATTACAGAAAAAAAGCAATTATTATTAATTATCTGTATTATAAACGTATACAGTAGTTTTAACTTATTATATTATCTTAGTCGTCATCAGTTATTCTGATCATATAAGTTGAACTTTCCCATGTTTGAATTGAATTAAATTTATGTCTGAGAAATAAATTTACAAAATGTTATTAAAAACTGTAACTATTAATTAAACTATAATTATTAATTACAGAAAACATATCTTCCAAAAAATATATTAAATTATAATTAAGGAATTAATAAATTATATTAAGTTTGATAGCTCATAATTATAGAAAAACATGAGATAAAGAGCAACGATATCAGCAATATTTTCTATTATATCTATACTTATTTATTTGTATTTAAAAACGTATAGAAATATAGAAATTAATAATTTTTTTTCACAGTTCATAGTTCCAAAAATTTATTATTTTTAAAATAATTTTCTTAAGATACACTGATAATATGATAATCAAACAAAATATGACAATTAGAATTATAAGAATTTAAGAATAAAATTTAATTAGAAATTTAATTAGAAATTATGATCTATTCGTGGAAAATAGAAATATGTTTTCTAACGCTTATATTTATTTAATAAAATTAATTTATTTAATAAATTTGTATGAATAGAATTTCGTTTATACAGATATTGTGATAATGTATCTAAAGCTTACATAAACTCAATGATACTTAATGCAAGTTTTAACTTTCGCAATAAAATAAGCCTGCGTATGCACGATTAAGTAATAAGATGATTCAATATCTCAGTTTACAGCAATGACATTATATTAGCGTCAGCGTTAAAAATGTATCATACGAAATATTTTTATTAGTCAATGATTGAAATGGAATTTTACCATAAACATGACTGGTCATGATCCTTATATATCTTCCATCTAAATGATTTCAAGAGACTGGTTTCTTTCTTATATTCACAGTAGATACGGTTTTTTTTCCTTAATCGTAAATATCAAAGTTAAAATTAATATACGGTTCATACAAGGACATATTTTCTAGGATCTCCTTCTGAGAATTCAATTTTTTCTTTATTATATTTAATTTCAAGAATTGATTATATGAAGTATAGTTATAAAAATCAATTCAAAAATTAATCCAAAAAGTTATATAGTTCTTATGGATTTATTTATAAAAATTTTCTAATAATCTTTTCTTTTATTTGTTAGATATAAAGAATTAATAACAATTATATGCACACACATTTAAATGTCTCTTCATAAATATTTGATATAAATTATGATAAATATTATATAAGACTCGTGGAATATAAATCGATAAAATTAGATTCTTTAACAAAGAGATTCTGCTTAACACGGATATCCTGTTGACCCAACGAAAAGCTATGTCCCCTATCGAATCAGACCCATTTGGAATGCGCGATGGACCAGACTGGAACCCTCGAATAGTGATCATCCAAACATGAAACAAAGGACAAGATTGCTCCTGTGCATGTACTCGTTCAACTGTACTCTTTTCGTTCTATCTTTTGATCCACGTCTGAGAAGGCTCGTTGAACCGGAGTTACTAATTCATCACGCTAATGAGTTGCGCGAGGAAGATCGTCGCTCTTGTCCATGACCTCTTATTGCGAAACATTGTGTTGGAAAAACCACACGTGTACTTTCCAACGAAGCCCGCAGTATGTATCACTCATTTAAAGCAATGGAGAAACGAAGAGATAAGAAAGGAGGAAAATCATTTTTTTAGGAATTTTGTAGAGAAGAATCTATTGGATGTGATTTATTAGATTTTGCATAATATTAAAGTAAGAACAAAAAATAAATAATTTAATAAATAAATAAGAAACATTTATACATTTAACACTAATATTTTCTTTAATTTTAAACATTAAATCTTAATTTTAAAGAAAAAATAATATTCCAATTGTCCAAATATATAATTGATATAGTTAACAAAATGAAATTAATAATTGTAATAAGGGCATTAAATTAAAAATTTTATTATTTTGCTATGACAAATATACATATATACATATATATTGTACAAACAATAAGATATTATCTACATATATATTTATACGCATATAAATTGTCAAAAATAAAGTAATATTGAACGAACTTTATGGATATTAAAAAAATAAAG